AAATTTTATTTGTAAAGATGGGAATAAACTACCTAAGGGTAAATTAGCTAGTTCCTATTTATCTTTTTACTAATAATGTGTACATATGTGCTTATGAGTATCTGGCTTTATTCTACACTAAAATTAAGTAGCTATGATTGATTTTGTTACCCTGGGAAGGAATATTTTGAGGAATTTTTATGTCTGTACAGAATATGAACTTAAACTAAAATCAGCTAATCCTTAATTTCTCAAATAATACCAGGTTTAAGTGAGTGAGTGAATGAATGAACAAACGAACAAACAATACTGGGTTTTGTTAATGATACATATTGTGAAGTAAGCACTGATTTTGGATTCAGGAAATGTGGATTCAAATTTAGAGGTACTGCCACTCTTAGAAATCATTTGGTTTTAGGGAACAGAAGCCCATTCAGACCTGCTTCAGTAAAAAGGGATGGATTTATTGGAGATATATGAGGGTGTCTTCCAGAATGCAAGAAGAGAAACTGGCTGCTAACAGTCTTGTCACAGATTACTCTTACTGTCTCACTGGAAGCAAATCATAGCTGTTTCTCCCTTCACATCTGCTCTTCTTCCCCTCCCCTTACCCCCCTTCCCCTTTCTTTCTGTTTTATTGTGCACATGCTTGCCCAAGCCCTGGCTTTAACATTGTTTCTTATTTTTAGCATTCAACAAAAACGAACTTGGTTTTCTTCCAGTATACTAATTCCTAGTTTCTTTTTTTTTTTTTTCCTAGTTTCTGAGAGAAAATCTAGTGAGCTCAGTTTAGATCAGGCACGTTCCTCTTATTCAGTCTATTCTAGCTGAAGGATTAGGATCATGGGGCCATAGGTCATGGTGGTAAGTAGAGTTGTGTGTTCTGGGTCTGGGGAAGGGGAGCTTCTCCAAGAATGTGTGAGGAAAAAGTAATTGGTAGAAAATGGATGACATCTCTAGAATAATATTTATTATCTCTGTGACCTTGAATGGATCACTTAGACTCAATTATTCTGTTTTCTCATCCTTAAAGCAAAATAATGATGATCTCCTTCTCACTCGTTTTTGTGATAAACAAATGAGACAAAGTACATAGAAACTTTTCTAAGGGCGCCTGGGTAGCCCAGTCAGTAGTTAATCGTTTGCGTTTGGCTCAGGTCATGATCTCAGGGTTCTGGGATCGAGCCCCACTTTGGGCTCCTTGCTCAAGGGACGCCTGCTTCTCCCTCACCCTCTGCCACTCCCCCTGCTTGTGTGTGCGCCTGCTCTCTCTCTCTCTCTGTCAAATAAATAAAATCTTTTTTAAAAAACTTTTCTAGGGGTGCCTGGGTGGCTCAGTCATTAAGCGTCTGCCTTCGGCTCAGGTCATGATCCCGGGGTCCTGGGATCGAGCCCTGCATCGAGCTCCCTGCTCAGCGGGAAGCCTGCTTCTCCCTCTCTCACTCCCCCTGCTTGTGTTCCCTCTCTCGCTGTCTCTGTCTCTGTCAAATAAATAAATAAAATCTTTAAAAAAAATTTTTCTAAATTACAAAGTTTTGTAGCAGTGTTAGAAATAAATCAAGTAAATAAGTTATTTAATCCATGCCATATATGCTTTTCTGTGAATTAACAGGATCTATTTTGGAAGCAATACTTGTATAATATGTTGAATTCCATATAGTTATCTATAATAAATTATTCCAATTAAAAGAAAATTCAAATGGTATAACTGCACAGCAAATTTTTTAATAGATTTGGATTACACGGCCACCTGGGTGGCTCAGTCATTAAGCGTCTGCCTTCGGCTCAAGTCATGATCTCAGGGTCCTGGGATCGAGCCCGGTATCGGGCTCCCTGCCCAATGGGAAGCCTGCTCCTCCCTCTCCCACTCCCCCTGCTTGTGTTCCCTCTCTCGCTGTCTCTCTCTGTCAAATAAATAAATAAAATCTTTTAAAAAAGAAAAGATTTGGATTATAGTTTAATAACACAATGCATAAAAATAGTTAAAGCATAAAGTTAGATAGATATTTACAAAGCAAAAGAGTTTTTGAGCTCCTGTTATGTGCTAGGCCCTATAGGATACAAAGAAGTCTGCAGGGCTGCTAAGGAATAGTGGCCTCCTTTCCCCAGGGAGCTTTTACAAGCTGAGAAAAATGTATACCAAGAGAGAATGATAAAAGTAATAAGCTGTACATGGCAAATTCAAATTAGACTATAGGATTTCATGCATTGAAGAGGTCATGGAAAGGTATCTAGAAGAAGCTGAGGTCTCAGACACGAGTAGAATCAAATAGGGAAACAAGAAGAAAGTACTTCAGGTAATGGAATGCAGAGTCTTATGAGTCAGCTGTATGGAATGGAATTTTTTTGAATAGGAAGATATGTTGAGCTGAGGGGTAGTAAGTCTTAAATGTGAGCTGGTACAGTTCAGACTGTATCCTATGAGTTTTGAAGGTTCTGGAACAACGGAATTATAGTAAGGAGCCAGTATTTTAAACAGTTACTTCCCTGGTGCCAGTGAATAAGATGGGCTTGAGGAGAAGAGTCTGGAGGCCTCATCTCCCAACTTCCATGCCTCTTTCAAAAAAAAAAAAAAAAAAAAAAACAGCGTAAATAATTTTATGATGGGAATGCTGATTGCTACCTAAAATAGACTGCACATTATGTATCCCAGTCCTTCTCATTTTCCTTAAACATAGATTGTTTTTTCAAATTATAATTATTTTTCACTTTGTCATTCTTACCTACCATGTCTCCAGATAACTTGCTTAAGGCCAACATAAAATTTATTTCAGTAGGTTTTAATTTTTTTTTTTATTTTTATCTTCTTTTTGAGGAGGGGTGGGGGGAGGGACAGAGGGAGAGAGAGAGAATCCTTTTTTTTTTTTAAGATTTTATTTATTTATTTGACAGAGAGAGACATAGTGAGAGCAGGAACACAAGCAGGGGGAGTGGGAGAGGGAGAGGCAGGCTTCCCGCCAAGCAGGGAGCCCGATGCAGGGCTCGATCCCAGGACCCCGGGATCATGACCTGAGCCGAAGGCAGACGCTCAACGACTGAGCCACCCAGGCGCTCCGGGAGAGAGAATCCTAAACAGGCTCCACACCCAGCACGGAGCCGACCTGAGCCGAAATCAAGATTCAGACGCTCAACCAGCTGAGCTGCCACCTACCCCGATTTTACTGTTTTAGAATAGAAAGAATACTGAGGACAAGATTATACAGCGTAAGTGCTTATCAAACCTAGTGTAGATTCATTTTCAGTGAATACACTTTGAATCAGCTTGGTATTCCTCAGTTATGTGAGCTCCTACTTGGCACTACACTCACAGGGTACCTTATAAATACTGTTGAACTCTTAAGTGGCAAATGCCTGAGCATTTTCCCTCTGTTGCTTTGAGTCAACTGTGTCATCATTTGGGACATGTCAGCGGGGTAGAGGAAGAGCCAGTGCTGCTTCATAGGCTCATGCTGGAGGTGCCAGATTGGGTTGTCAAGTGTCCCCCCACTGCCAGCACCATCAGTAAGAACCAGGGTCTGTGAGGCCGCTTGCCTCGCAACAGCTTTCTCTGTTCATGACCATGTATACTGGAATGAGCCCTTTAAAGATAAAATCAGTGTGTCATAAATTCTGAAAAAATTCTTAGAAATGAGGTGAGGTTGGCTAAGCCCTACAAAAATGGCAACAGAATTTTCTTTTAATTCCTCATTCTGACTTGTTTTTAAGCCACCTCGTCAGTGTGTCTGTGTAATGTGATATAATGCTTTGCATCTCGTTTATGAAGAGTCTTTGATCACATATCAGTACTGAGGCATGAGGGCCTAAATCTTTAGATCCAGGGATTAAGAGAGAGGAAGGGAAGGAGAAAGGGAGAAAGAAAAGGATAAAAGAAAGAGACGGGCGTCTGGCTGGCTCGGTTGGTGAGGCATGTGACTCTTGATCTCAGGGTTATGAGTTTGAGTCCTATGTTGGGTGTAGAGATTGCTTAAAAATAAAATATTTTTTAAAAAGGGAGAGAGAGAATATGTGTATATTTTACAGGGAGGATATTCCTTATTCTGAATTCTTAGAATCAGTAGAGAAAAGGGTTTGTTGTAATACTTATTACAGCTAGGATGAGTCATTCTGGACATAAAAAAAAAAAAATCAGAGGAAGGGATGGTGGGTCACAATCACAAAGACTTTTTAGTGACTCACTGTAGTGGCTCTACAATTACCCTGCCCCTTAGGCTTGCCCTTTCTGCCCAATCCTTCTTCCCCTTTAGGAGGAAAATCATTTAGGAAGATAAGCTCAGGGGTGCCTGGGTGGCTCAGCTGGTGCAATGTCTGCCATCAGCTCAGGTCATGATTCCCAGGTCCTGGGATTGAGCCCCATGTTGGGCTCTCTCTCTCTCGGGCTCTCTGCTCAGTGGGGAGTCTGCTTCTCCCTTTCCCACTCCCCCTTCTTGTGTTCCTGCTCTCGTTACCTCTCTCTGTCTCTCAAATAAATAAAATCTTTTAAAAAAAAAATGGGAATTTTGAATTTATAAGTAAAAAAAAAAGGGCAGTCTTCAAGTGCCATGGAAAGTAAGATTTCATATTTTCCATATGTTGTCCAGAAACTACTTGAAAAATAATTCAGTGGATTAAAGTTACGACAGATAGTCAAACTAGACAAAGTATTTTTAATAAAACTTAAATATTCAGCGTGTTTTATTACTTTTATTTTCCTAAGGGTCAGGAATCATCAACTGCCAGGTTACAGGTAACCATGAGACTGAAACAAGAACATAAAATCTGAAAGAATAAACGAGTGTTAACTGCTTTATCTGAGGGTGTTGCCTGTGCGCATGTGTTGTAATGGTAATTCTGATGTGGGACTGAATTCATGATTCAGATGGAACCTTTGAACAGTTTAATCAACATAAAGTGTTTATTACCCGTTCACACTTCTGCTAAGTATGAAAGAAGTGTTCTGAGCAAAGTGCTGTAATGCTTTAGTTCTTTTCCAGCTCAAGGTTATTCTTAGGATCTACATCTTTGCTGTTGCTACTGTTCTGTAGGCATATTCAGAACATGAGTGAGATCAAGACTGACGTTGGACGAGCTCGGGCGTGGATAAGACTATCTCTAGAAAAGAAGCTCCTGTCCCAGCATCTCAAGCAGTTGCTCTCCAACCAGCCACTCACCAAGTAAGAGACAGCCTCTTAGACATTTCTGCTTCTGTGACCTGTGTGTCTGCAAAGCAGATTGTATAAACTGGCAGACTGGTGACTTCAGCATGAATTGCTGACTCCTGTGCACATGTGTTCTTCCTTTCTAACAGGCATGTGCATTGGAAACTCCATGGTTTGACATAGTATTTGATTTTACCTGGGAGGACACACCAAACTTGACAGCCAAAGGCCAGATTGCTCTGTTCTCAACCAGAAAAAAAGCTAACTAGTCCACATAGGCTGACAGTAACATCCAAAATATAGGTTGAATTTAAGATCACAGCAAAACCTGAAGTAGCAAAAAAAAAGTCCGCATTAACAGGTTTCTTTTGAGAGTCTTGCCAATGCTTACATTCAATTGTTTAGAGCCAGGAAAGCAATCAAATGCATGTTACTTAATTGCTAACTGTTTTAATAGGTTTCCCTTTATTCCATCAAGAAACCCTCTTAGATAAAATGCATCATCTATATAATATATATGTTAGACCTAATTCGAAGGCTGAGAACTTAGGTCTCTAGAGCAAAGCTATGCAAAAAATTCAACAAAGATCTCAAAGATCTCAAGACTGTTGGAATCTCATCATGGTAATATTCTTTTTGTAGTTTTGCATTTGTACACATCATCAATTGGGCTACTTACCCCTGGAGCATTTTAAGATGAGTCTTAATGTCCAAAGAGTAGGGTTGATAAAGAATGCAAAGTGAGGTATAACCTGTGAACCTGATCTTGTTCTCTGAAACTGGTTACTCCCCTCACCCATCCCTGCCCATTATAAATCAGTCATGGCCACTGTGGCCAAACTACATAAAGTGCTACATAAAGGTTGGGTGCCTGGGGGTACCTGGCTGGCTTAGTAAGTAGAGACATTTGACTCTTGATCTCAGGGTCATGAGGTCAAGCCCCACATGTGGCGCAGAGTTTACTTATAAATACATACATACAGTTGCACACCTGGCTGGCTCAGTTGGTAGAGCATGCAACTCTTGATCTTGGGTCATGAGTTCGAGCCCCATGTTGGGTATACAGCTTACTTGAAGAAGAAAATCCCACTACATAAAGGTAAATACCAAGTATTTCACATGTTTTCTTCTGTACTTTCTTCTATGCATGCTCTCTTAGTTAAGATTATACTGTATTTACAATTCAGTATCATCCTTTTTTTTTTTTAAGATTTTATTCTTAAGTAATCTCTACACTCAACTTGGGGCTCGAACTCACAACCCCAAGATCAAGAGTTGCATGCTTTTCCAACTGAGCCAGCCAGGCCCCCCAGTATCATCCGTTTTTTAGCTTAGTGTATTATAAACATTTCACTATATCGTAAGAGTTTAAGCTGTGAAGACTGAATGGCTATGTTCAAATACTGCCTTTACTGTTTACTATTTGAATGACTTTGGACAAGATACTTAACTTTTTTGTATCTCTGTTTTCCCTAATTTATAAAATGAGAATGCTAGTAGACTTACTTCATCCAGGGTAATCATGAGGATTAAATGTATCAACAACTATAAAACATTTGGAAAAGTGCTTAAATATAAGTGCTTAATAAAAATTATTATTTTTAGTAGTAGTTTTGTTGTTGTTGTTAAAACACTTCATAAACTTTATTTTCGATGCTCACACAGTATTCCAATGTATGCATATACCGTGATATATTTTTCCTTCTACAAATAACATTTTAGTGGACATCTGTGAATAAACCTTGCCCGTACTTCTTCTTATATTCTTAGGACTGAGTCCTAAAAGTAAAATTAATGTATTTGGCTTTGACTAAGTGAAGGTGTTTATTTTTAGTACCAGACATAATGAAAAGCATGAAAAATATACTATTATTTTGTGCTTGTCTTACCCATTCCTAGGAAGCTTTATAAGCGTTATGCTTTTCTACGCTGTGAAGAAGAAAGAGAGCAGTTTCTTTACCATCTTCTTTCCCTCAATGCGGTTGACTACTTCTGCTTCACCAGTGTGTTCACCACTATCAGTAAGTCTGGAGAACTGGCTATTAAGTGAAGAGTTGCTCAGGCAACTAATGGAATAAAAGTTTATATTTTTAAAAGTGAGATGCATGATAGTACAGTGAGATAGACATTGTGAGTGAGGCTGGCCCCAGACCTCTATTTAGGAATGAAGGTTGTGCCCCGGCAGCTGGGAGGACTGCGGGAAGGCAGCCCTCAGCTGTCAGCCCCTGTGGGGAGGGCCTCACCAGAACAAACTGCCTTCCCCCCACCCCCAACCCTCCAAGATGATCCCTCCTAGCAGGGCCAGCCAGCATCCTAGGACTATCATAGGGCTGTTCCAGAACTTACTATGGTATCAGCTGAGGACTTCACTGTGACTACGTCACAGCTCAGCTTCTCTCTCAGCCACGTGGTGATCCCAGGAGCAACATCGTCCATGCTGATTTCTGACTTCATCTGCTTCCCAGGAAGCCCAGTCTGCAGAAGGAAATGGGCTGGATGTTAAAAAGGAATGTTTGATTAGGGATGCCTAACTGGCTCAGTCCATGGAGCATGCAACTCTTGATCTCAGGGTCATGAGTTTGAGTCCCATGTTGGGCCTAAAGCCTACTTAAAAAAAAAAAAAAAATGTTTTATTAAACAAATGGTCCAGTATCTTACATAAAACACAAAAAATTTTGGGGCGCCTGGGTGGCTTAATCATTAAGCATCTGCCTTCAGCTCAGATTATGATCCCAGAATCCTGGAATCAAGCCCCGCATTGGGCTCCCTGCTGAGCGGGAAGCCTGCTTCTCCCTCTGCCACTCCCCCTGCTTGTGTTCCTGTCTTGCTGTGTCTCTCTGTCAAGTAAAATCTTTAAAAAAAAAAAACAAAATTTTAAAAATCAGCATACCATAATAAACGTATAAAACATCATTAAACTTTGTTGATTCAGAAAGACTTCAAGACCTTACTGAATAATGTAGGTCTGTAGAGGGAGTAAATGCTGACTGGATATGTGTTTTTGATGGAAAGTCAAATTATAGCATTTATTCTATTCACCAGTACTAATGCTTATGTGCAGCGGCTCCTCTTCACTCCCCACTTTGGAGGATTTTTACTTTTGTCAGTTAGGAATTATGTTTTGCTCCAAGAATCAGAAACTTGGAAAACAGTGCTTTAAACAAATAGGTGGTTTCGAGGCACCTGGGTGGCTCAGTTGTTAAGCGTCTGCCTTTGGCTCAGGTCATGCTCCCTGGGTCCCGGGATTGAGCCCCACATCGAGCTCCCTGCACGGGAAGCCTGCTTCTCCCTCTCCCACTCCCCCTGCTTGTGTTCCCTCTCTCACTGTGTCTCTCTCTGCCACATAAATAAATAAAAATCTTTAAAAAAAATAGGTGGTTTCATATTTCTTATATAATGAGAAGTTTCAAGATAGTCCATAGTACGTTCATGGACCCAGGGTCTTTGTCCCTCTCTTCCTAGACAGTCCTGAGTGTGTGCTAATCACCTCGTGATCACAAGATGGCTATTCTCAATCCACCTTCTAGCAGGAAGGAGTGCCAAGAAGGAAAGGGCAGAACCTGTGCTAGAAAAACGGGATTTTCTAAGGAATCCCAATAAATATAACATTTCACTGGCCAAAAATTTGTAGGTTTTGGCTTTCTAGTCTCTGATAGAAGCAGACAAGGAAAAATGGAGCTGAACTGGGTATTGGGCCAACCAGTAATACCTATCAGCTATCCATTAGTATCTAAACTATCAGTCAGTTTAGTACATTACTGCTGGTATAAGAAGCTAAGATGTTAGGGGTGGCCTGGGCAGCTTAGTTAAGCGCCCAACTCTTGATTTCAGCTCAGGTCCTGAACTCGGGGTTGTGACATCAAGCCCTGTGTCAGGGCTCCCCACTCAGTGGGGAGTCTGCTTGAGATTCTCTCCCTCTCTCTCTCTGAATAAATACACCTTTTTTTTAAAAAAAGAAGTAAGATGTTATGTGCAGTTTTAAAAGAAAAGAAATAGCAGAGGTAGTTAGGATTTCTAAGATCCTACCTATATCTATAGATTTCATTTAAGTAACTTTTCTAAGAATTGAGATCTTCATGAAAGAAATAGTTTAAGTTTAATAATACTACTCCTTATTCTATGTAATCACTGTTGTGCATCTGTGGTCCCTTTGCAGGCTCAGAACTGCTGACCCTAAACCCTTTTTTTTTTTTGCAGCTTTTTTAATCCTCTCCATGAAAGGGAATGAAAGAAGCCTCTGGCACCTAAAATAAAGTCTTGCACTAACCTCTTCTGCTTTCAGTTTCTAAACCCATTTGATTCTGATGATTACTAAACCATGAAAGTATGGCCTTTCCTCTGACATTTTCCTTTCCTTCAGCCAAAATGAAAAGACAGAAAGGGAGGTTATTCACCCAACATAAAGTCATTTATGTAAAATTAGGGAAATGAACCATTTATCCCATTCACTTTCCTCATCTAAGAGTACATTGAACCACGATCTCATTTTCTGAGGCTGTATCTGGGCACCTTGTCCAATAAATGTGTATCATCCTATGTGTAGATCTTTCAAGGAGGGTTTCTAATACACCTTCTTAGGACTAAAGGAGCAGAAATCCCAATGATACCAACAAAAATTGATTCTACCCTGCTTTTAAAAAAAAAACAAAAACAAGCATGACTCTGAGGGATGAAAATGCACCAGTGTGTTTGAGCCATCCCCATTTTTAAAAGAGAGTGGAGGGAGTGTGCAATGTATAGAGAGCCATCCTGTTTGAGCAAAAGATGGTGATAGGACAGTGACATCTAGTGGTGTGCCTTTTGAAGAGCCTTCAGAAGGAAAAGACTGCACACAAATTTCTCTCTACATTTTGATTCTTTCCCCAGGGCTCCTCTTGTACCTCCTGAGTGGCCTCAATAACTTTCCAATTGTGGTTTATATGTGGTTTATGTCCAGAATGGTATTGTTTATTACTCTTGGCTTTGCTTATCATGGTGTAAAATTGGGATGGGGCATCTGGGTGGTCCAGTTGTTGGGTGTCTGCCTTCAGCTCGGGTTATGGTCCCGGGGTTCTGGGATCGAGCCCCACGTCGGGCTCCCTGCTCGGCGGGAGACCTGCTTCTCCCTCTCCCACTCCCCCTGCTTGTGTTCCTGCTCTCGCTGTCTTTCTCTCTATATCAAATAAATAAAATATTGAAAAAAAAATTGGGATGGGAACGTTCTGAAACATTGCCCGAGAAAATTAGCAACAAGGGGATAGTGTCCAACAAGTCATTCACACCCTTTTACATACGAAACCATATCAGTAACCATGTTCATTTATATACTTGATTTTAGAACAAAATTTAAAATGTTAAAGCAATGAAAATTCTGTATAGCAGTCAGTTCTGGTGTTAATGCCTGGGATTGTTTTTTATAAATGTAGAAGTTATATATATCACCATGGTGATACTCTGCATGCCATGCATACCTGGTGATACACATGCCATGGAAACCATCAAAAGTGTTGAGACTTGTGATTTATAAACTGGACCTCATCTTTCTAGACTGGAAGAGGCAATCTCATCTCTTTGTTTAAGTATATCTTGATAGATCATAATGAGCAAACTACCTATGAAAGCCAGCAGAGTCATTAATATATATTTGCTTTATTATCAGGAGAATTTTATTGTAATTTTTACTTAATTTTAGCATTGTTCTTTCAGTGATTCCATATAGGTCAGTGATCATCCCCATCAAAAAGCTGAGCAATGCGATCATCACATCGAACCCTTGGATCTGTGTATCGGGAGAGCTAGGAGACACGGGAGTAATGCAGATTCCCAAAAACCTCCTCGAAATGACTTTTGAGGTAGGTTCAGCCAATACCTTTCTTAGCAGAAAATGTCATACATAGTTCTTCACAAGGATTCCAGTTTTACTTTTTCATTTTTCCTCAAATAATAAAAGGAGTACTCAAGCATGCAGGATCATTTTTGTGAGTATACACCTAAAATTGTCTTAAATACAGTTACTTGTTTTGTTTTTTTATTGCTATAATTTTAATTACTAAGCTCTGTTTTTCTACTTGCAATGGAATACTTTGGGGCTTTGCTAGGTCCTATTCCATGATTGCTGATGCCTAGCACAGAACTTGGCAAGTAGGGAACATTCTAGTAAATGCTTTTCCCACAGTGGTTCTCTTCCTGAATCTGGACAAACGGACAGGAGAGCTGACATCCATGCTTATGGCTTGTAAACCACATGGTGACATTTGTAGAGTGATTCTATAAAAATACCTTTCGATATTGTAGTCAGTTTTCAGGTCTCAGCTGGTGAAATGTTCCCCCTGTCTTTGAGCCCCCTGCAGGCTGATCCTGGCATGCAGGAAGAAGACAAACTCATGCTCGTGTTTCAGGAGGGAAGTAGTTCTAACTGAATGTCCTATTGTGTTCCTTGGGGTCTGGGAATAGCAGTTTCCACTCAGTCATAACACACCCAAGAGCCCGTTTTAGCCCTCTTTCTCTAATGGATTCATTATGTATAAAAGATTAAAACCCTTCACCTTTCTTTGACTAGCAAGTATGGAACATAAACTCTACTATAAATCCAGTCATTACTGTTTCCAGACTCTCTCTCATTTCTGCCTAGTTCTTTCCATCTTTCCTGCCACAGCTAATTCAGGATGCCCTCCTCCCTCACCTGGATGGCTATGATGCCTTCTCACTTGATACGAAGAAGTCAAGGGCTTTAAGAACTCAGCTCTGATGTTCCCAACCATACATAGTCAGTTGGGGGTTCTGTGATATTTTATCAGAATTTAAAAGTCAGAATTTAATTGAGATTTATTTTTACTCTTCCTTTTATCATTGCTTTCGTTTGTACTTGTCCAACAAAGGCCAGGAAGGACATTGATAACTGTACTTTTTTAATGATAGTTTCAAAGACTTCTAGTGTTGAGGTCAGTTCTGCCTTAGCATTTTATTAGAAACAGAAAAACAGCTGTGTCAGTGATTTTTTTTTTTATATCTATGGTTATTTCCTGACCTCACTGTGACCGAATCTAAATAGGATCCTTTTGCCACTTCTTGAAATTCTTCTCATCCTAAAGGCACCCCTCACTTGATAGTTAATATCCATATGTGTCCTATCTCATAGATGCACTATAGTAGATGTGAATATATTTTTCTAGTACAAAGCAAAGCACATTATGCAGGATGGGTCCTCAGCAGTTGTTAAATTAGATGGAACCAAAGTGCCACCACTAAAGCTAAGTGGTAGTGGGCGTGGGATCAGGCTCTGAATAACCTGTGCTCCTGTCCCTCCAGTGCCAGAACTTGGGGAAGCTGACCACTGTTCAGATTGGCCATGATAACTCAGGACTGTTAGCCAAATGGCTAGTGGATTGTGTCATGGTCAGAAATGAGATCACAGGACATACATACAGGTAAGTAAATGTCCTTGGGAGCTCAGAATTCTTTGAGCCTCTTTAGACAAGAAAAGTTTTAAGAATTGTTTTCTTCTGGGGCGCATGGCTGGCTCAGCCTGAAGAGCGTGCGACTCTTGATCTCAGGGTGGTGAGTTTGAGCCCCATGTTGGGTGTAGAGATTACTAAAAAAATAAACTTTAAAAAAGAACTGTTTTCTTAAGCTTTCTCACTACCTTCTGAATTTTAGTTAAGGGTTTTGGGTTTAGTTTTACTTTTAATTTTTTATTTATCTGAGGGTGAGAGCGGAGTAAGCAAGAGACAACACGAGTGGAGTGGGGAGCTGCAGAGGGAGAAGGAGAAGCAGGCCTGCTGCTGAGCAGGGAGTTTCGGGGTTGGGGGAGGCTTGATCCCAGGACCCTGGGATCATGACCTGAGCCACCCAGGCGTCCCTTAGTTTTACTTTTTATGTAATACAAAATTGCCACCAAAAAAACTTTTAAAAAATTGTGTTTGCTCTCAATACTTAGTCCACAAGTGTTGGAAAAGATTGATATAACTGTGATTTAAAAAAAAAAACAAAACAGCTTGAAGTAATTTAGTAGAAGGAAAGGATCTTTTGGACTCTACTAGTTATAGCTGCTACTCCTCTTTGGAAACATTGTCCTCTTTTCTCCTATAATTCATCTCCCACATTAACTTCTAGTTTGAAAATATTCTTGTCAGAACTAACCACAGTATTTTAATATAGACTAGGTATGAGAAAATACTGAATCATTGTAATTTGGTTGAATGTGATAACAATTTCTGGCTATATAAGAAAGGATGTCCTTATTTTTCAGAGATTCATACTGAAGTGTTTTTAGGGGTAAAACATCCTAATGCATGGAATGTACTTTAAAATACTTCAACACAGGGGCGCCTGGGTGGCTCAGTCATTAAGCATCTGCCTTCGGCTCAGGTCATGATCCCAGGGTCCTGGGATCGAGCTCCGCATCGGTCTCCAGACTCAGCAGGAAACCTGCTTCTCCCTCTCCCACTCCCCCTGCTTGTGTTCCCTCTCTCACTGTGTCTCTCTGTCAAATAAATAAATAAAATCTTTTAAAAAAATAATAAAATACTTCAGTGCAAAATACAAAGCATATGGCAAAACATTAAAGAATATGGGTGTCTGTTACACGATTCTACTTTTCTGTATGTTTTGAAATTTTAAAATTAAAATTTAAAAAACAACCCATAGGCACTGAAATGATGGGCTTCACCCATGGTGCCATTTTAAACATTCTGATTAAAACTAGTAAAGTGCTGGTGATGGAGAAGTTGTTTTTCTGACCTACAAGGTTCCCATGCGGGCGGTGGTTGGGGAAAGGCATTGATGATGGAAGCCTGGAGAGAATCCTTATTGGGGAATTGATGACCTCAGTGGCAGATGAGGATCTGGTAAAGCAGTGTCGGACTCCACCCCAACAGAAATCCCCCACCTCGGCTCGGAGACTGAGCATCACTTCACTGACAGGAAAAACCACCAGTAAGTACCACCATTGATCGTTAAATTTGCAGTGTGCCCCAGATGTTGCGGACATCATGTGGCCATTTCACAGGAAACTGTTGCATTAATGAATTGTGGCAAGATTAAAAAGAAGAAAGCTGAGGAAAATTAATTTGGGCCAATGGAATTTGAAAGAGGGAGGGAGGAGAGAGGAAAGAGAAAAAATAAGGCAAGAATTAACAAATAATTAAAAGCCTGAAGAATTTAGATATTAAAATCAAACAAAAACTGCATGCTCTGTTTTAATTAAGCTATGGAAATGTGAGTAAATAATATTTTGACTGAAACTTAAAGGAAGAAGAGCACCTGGCTGGCTCAGTCAGTAGAGCATGCGACTCTTGATCTTGGGGTTGTGAGTTCAAGCCCCATGTTGTAGGGTGGATTGTACTTTAAAAAAACAACTGGGGTGCCTGGGTGGCTCAGTCGTTAAGCATCTGCCTTTGGCTCAGGTCATACTCCCAGGGTCCTGGGATCGAGCCCCGCATCCAGCTCCCTGCTCTGCCGGAGGCCTGCTTCTCCCTCTCCCACTCCCCCTGCTTGTGTTCCCTCTCTCACTGTGTCTCTCTCTGTCAAATAAAATCTTTAAAAAAACAACAACAACCTTAAAGGAGGAATAAGGACAATTCATATTACAATATTCCCAGAGAGCTACATCTAGCTATCCAGAGCCCCTTATTCTAAGAGAAAATCTAAAAATTTCTCTCCCTACCCCTGTGTTCCTATGGAAGTAATAAAATACTATAAAGGAGTGACTTCTGTGGATAGGATGCTATACTATCTTTAATACTACCATAAACTTCCAATCTATGCTAATGTGGGCTTTAGTAGGCTGAATAATGTCTCCCAAGGGTATTAGATCCTAATCCCAAAATCATTAAATGTTACTTTATTTGGAAAAAAAGATCTTTGTAAATGTGATTAAATTGAGAATCTTGGGATGGGGAGATTATCCTGGATTATCTAGGTGGGCCCTGAATGCAGTCACACATATTCTTAAAAGAGGGAGGCAGAAATTGGAGTGATGGAGCCGCAAGCCAGAGAATGCCAGCAACCACCAGAAGCTTGAAGAGGTGAGGAACATGTGCTCCTACAGAGCCTCCAGAGGGAGGGTGGCCCTGCCTTGATTTCTGCCCGGTGATAATTTCTGACTTCTGGCACTCCAGAACAATGACTGAATAGATTTCTGTTGTCTTAAGTCACCAAGTTTGTGGTAATCTATTACAGGAGCCACAGAAAAACTAAGAGGCAGTATGATTAGTGAAAAATTACAGAAGTTTATCAGTGAAGTGGTTTTATTTCAGCCATAGACAATAAAGCCGTAAGTAGAATATAACAGAACCTGAGAGGTTTTCAGTTTACCAACAAAGAGGTTTCCTTAGATATTTTCAGTCCCTATCCATTTATTAGCACATGGCGATCTATTAACTATTAGAATGATATAGTCTAAAAATTCCCCTTATTCTTTCTCAAAGTAGTCCCCTGATTCATAATTCTTTATTGCCTTCAGAGGTAGACTTCACACACTCACTAGAAAAACGAAAATTATAAAGACTGATAATACCAAATATTGGTGAGGATGGAGAGCAGTGGAATGCTCAGACATTGCTAGTGGGAATGCCAAAGGAAAAACAGTTTGGAACTTTCTTATAAAGACATGCACATGTTTAGCACACACTTGACACAGAATCCCACTCCTCAGTATTTACTCATGAGAAATGAATACATGTAGCTACAGGAAGACTTGCAGTCCCATGTTCATAGGAGCTCTATTCATAATAGTCAAAATGGAAATAATCCAATATCCACCAGCTGGTGATTGGAGAAGCAGAACGTGCTATATCTATTCAGTGGCATACTACTCAGCAATATATAAAAATGAACAAACTATTGATGTACCTAACAATGTGGGTGAATCTCAGAAGCATAATGCTAAGTAAAAGAGAACAGACACAAAAGGCTAGATGCTGTATGATTCCATTTATACTGAATTCTAGAAAAGGCAGTATAATAATGATAGAAATCAGAGCATCAGTTGCCAGGAGTTGAGAGCTAGGGAAGGGGATTGACTGAAAAAGGAGCACAGGGGAACTTTTTGGGTTGATAGAAATTTTCTACATCATGACTGTGGTTGTTGCATGATACATGTGTCAAAGCTCCTCAAATTGCACACTTAAAATTGGTGAATTTATTGTATGTAATCCTAAATTGATTTAAAAGACTGACTTAAGGGGGCGCCTGGGTGGCCCAGTCGTTAAGCATCTGCCTTCCACTCGGGTCAGGGTCCTGGGATTGAGCCCCACATCGAGCCCCACATTGGGCTCCCTGCTCCGCAGGAAGCCTGCTTCTCCCTCTCCCACTCCCCCTGCTTGTGTTCCCTCTCTCGCTGTGTCTCTCTGTCAAATAAATAAATAAAATCTTTAAAAGTAATGGGGCGCCTGGGTGGCTCAGTTGTTAAGCGTCTGCCTTCGGCTCAGGTCATGATCCCGGGGGCCTGGGATCAAGCCCCGCATTGGGCTCCCTGCTCAGCGGGAAGCCTGCTTCTCCCTCTCCCACTCCCCCTGCTTGTGTTTCCTCTCTCACTGTGTGTCTCTCTGTCAAATAAATAAATAAAATCTTAAAAAAAAAAACAAACTCATTAGTACAATGCTATTTTAGAATGAATAAAAGTTTTCAAAATAGATCTTCATGTTTGTTTGTTTTTTTTAAGATTTTATTTATTTGAGAGAAAGAGAGAGCACGAGAGGGGGAGGGTCAGAGGGAGAAGCAGACTCCCCGCTGAACAGGGAGCCCGATGGTGGGACTCAATCCCGGGACTCCAGGATCATGACCCGAGCCAAAGGCAGTCGCCCAACCAACTGAGCCACCCAGGCACCCTTAAAGATTTCATTTATTCGTTTGAGACAGAGCATGAGCAGGGGGAGAGGCAGAGGCAGAGGGAGAAACAGGCTCTGCTGAGCCGGGACCCCTTCATGGGGCTCGATCCCAGGATGCTGAGATTACGACCTGAGCTGAAGGCAGACACTTAACTGACTGAGCCACCCAGGTGCCCCAAGATCTTCTTGTTTAAAAAAGAAAATATTCAGGGGTGCCTGGCCGGATTAGTCGGTAGAGCATATGATTCTTGGTCTTGGGGTCATGAGTTTGAGCCCCACGTTGTACATAGAGATTACTTTAAAAAATAAAAATCAAAAAAATGTATTCAGAGCAAGGAAAAAGTAACTAGCAGCTAAGAGGCCACAGTACCAGTCCTTCAATCATTAGAGGTTCCCATTTTAGCAATCTTTATGCATTGGTGTAGAAAAACTTGAGTTTTACCTGAAGAATGTTTTATGCAAGATATCGTCCAGCAGTATGAATTCAAAGATTCTTAAACACTAAAATGTGTAGTTTGTCCTTTATGGTGTGACATATAAGTTAAATTTAATAGTTAATCACCACAAGAAATTACCAAATATTTAATTTTTTCTCTTGTTACCTACCCGCTTCTATCCCTAAAATCTGTTTACCATCTTTTTTTTTTAACCGTTCTTGGGGTTTGGGAGGCAAAGGCAGTGTAGATCCCATTCAGGCAGCCCACCACACTCTCCCCCAAGAACGGGGCCTAAGCATGTGTGGGCGGGGGGTGGTGAGGGCGGGTGGCAAATGAAGCAGTGCCCACATGGACTGAGTACCAGAAAAGGAAGCAGTTCTGGGCTTCGGGTGCCGCAGTGTACCAGGAATCTTCCCTTTTCTTTCAACACAATAGCAAAAACACAGATTTCAGGTTAGCCATTTAGAGCTTCACAAACCTGGGTCTGTGCCCACTAAGGGACTCAGAGGTAGGTAGGTAAGAGGGTACCTGCAAGTGATGCTGTGGGTCTTTCCCACCTCACTCCTCAGATTCAGGGGCTTGCTAGCACTTTGTGACAGGTACCATACCAGGTGATTTACACCTGTAATATCTCATTCACCTTTCCCAGTGACCCATGAGGTGTATATTTTCCCTATTTTAGGCTGAGGAAATTCAAACTCAGAAGAAATTTGACATCTAACCAAAGTTATAAATTGCAAGTGGTGAGGTTGGAATTTGAATGTAGGAGTCTGTTGGATTCTTTTCCTTTGTGCCAAGATGCCTCCCACTGGGCCGAACTGGCCTGAGGCAAGTTTCAACAGGGCCCCTGAGAAGCCAACCTGCTGTGGTGAAGTGTTCCCTGCCTGGTGGACACAGGTAATACCCCATAGTACTTTAGTTTATTACCCTTGCATGAGAATTCAGCTGCTGTTCATTATTTTTTCAGAACCCAATGCTGGACAGATCCAAGAAGGAATTGGAGAAGCTGTGAATAATATTGTGAAACATTTTCACAAACCTGAGAAAGAGGTATGATGATCTATAAAACTTTGTAGGATTTTAAAGCCATTTTTATACATGATATATAAGGCAGTAGAGGGTATGTTAATTTTTATTTGTAAGCTTTCTCATAGCTACAAAAACATGCTTCATAGCCGTCCTCAGCACCTCTTCTTCTAGCATCTTGTTAAACATAGATGCGGCTGATCATCCTTTGGCACTGTGTGTTTTGCCCCACAGAGAGGAAGCCTCACAGTGTTGCTATGTGGAGAAAATGGACTGGTTGTGGCACTTGAACAAGTCTTCCATCATGGGTTCAAATCTGCCCGCATCTTTCACAAGAATGTCTTCATCTGGGACTTCATAGGTAAATTAAAGCGGGTGTATATTATTATAAGGTCACTGAAATGTTTCTTAGAAAACTCGAAGACCCAGCAGTTTAAGCAAATAAGGGTTAGTAACAAGGGAGTACATTTTTTAAAAGAAATACCAAATTAGCAGTATCTTTGCTTTTCATTCATTCAACAAATATTTATAGTGTCCATAATATTCCAGACACTATTCTAGATACTCAAGATATACATCAAGGGACACCTGGCTGGCTCAGTTGGCAGAGCATGGGACTCTTGATCTCAGGGTCATGAGTTCAAGCCCCACGTTGGGCATAGAGCTTACTCTAAAAGAAAGATAAACATCAAGAGATAAGTAAAACACAAAAATTTCTGTGGTTGACAAACTTATATTCTGGTGGGGACAGGAACCCAGACAATACACAAAAACATAACAGGTATGCATGTCATCTAGTATGTTATAAAGCTATGTTTGATGTGGAAAAAAATAGAGCAGTGTGACAGGACATGGAGTGGAGAGTGCTCTTCTAAGTGGGGCGGTTACACGCTTTGTCGACAAGGTGACGTTTGAGCAAAGACTCTAAGGAAGTGAGTCAAGCCCTGTGACAATCTGGGAGAAGAGCACTGGGGGCTGAGAGAACTGCCAGGGAGAGGCCCCAAGCTGGGAGTGTGCTTGGCCTTTTCATGGAATGGCAAGACTAATGTGACTGGGGCAGAGTGAGGGAGACAGGAGACTAAGGATATTGGGGAAGGGGGCTGTTTACTGCCAGAGCAAGGTGCTTTAGGGCCATCTAGGCCTTTGGAAGAACTTCGGTCTTTATCAAGATTGAAATAGGAAGTCATTGGAAGGCTTGGAGCCAAGGAGTGAGTGACATAATGTAACTTCTGTTGTAGAAGGACTACTCTAGCTTTATGCTGTCCAGTATGGTAACAACTAGGTACATGTGGCTATTTAAATTTAAACTGATTTAATGTCAATTAAATTTAAAATTCACTTCCTTAGTCACACCTGCCTTAACCTAGGAGCTACTAAATTGAACCTTGCAGATATAGAACATTTCATTCATCACAGAAAGTTCTGTTGGAGTATGCTGCTCCAGCTTGCTAAATAAGCTTTGTAATCTTTATTTTGGTATGCAGTTCTTCTAGAATTCCCAGTTTTTTTTAAAGGGGTGTTGAATCATTTTGTGTCTTGAAATATAGTCTAGATGAAGTAGTTGATTTTATCCAACTTAGAATTTTTAGACAAAAGGTTGACAGAGCTAGGCATTTTTTTTTTCTTTTGGAATGCCTAGAATCTTACTGCTCCTGTTTCTGGTATGAGTATACATATCCCTTCCTCAGATTTCCTGAATCAGTTCTATTTCAAGGATTTTGTCACAAAGTGTTAGCCAGCCATTCTGTAACCAGAACAGAGGGCACCATCCTAATGGCTACTGTATATTTGCTAGTTACTCCTAGAAGATTCTCGTCTTGACAGAGGAGTCCATTTTTTTCTTTTTTGCCAATTTCCATTGCTTGAAGGTATTCTAAAGAGAGTAAACTTTTACCCTTCTGGAATGCAGTCTAGATTAGAAAATAAACTCCTGGAAGCATACTGTTCCACTGTGAAACATGGACCTCTGGAATTCATCTTGAAACCAATGATAAAGTAATGATTTTGGTTTCTGAACTGGCTATAATGCAAAGCATCAGTAGTGTTTCCAGAATAAACTAAGTGATTAATCTTTCTGTACATGAAGTATTAATGTGTATTGTTATATGATTCTGACTTCTTTCCCCAGAGAAAGCAGTTGCTTATTTTGAAACCACTGACCAGATTCTAGACAATGAAGATGATGTCCTTATTCAGAAATCATCCTGCAAAACCTTCTGCCACTATGTAAATGCTATTAATACTGCACCCAGGAACATTGGGAAAGACGGCAAATTCCAGATTTTAGTTTGCCTCGGAACACGGTATAAAGCTAGCTCTTGACTTTCCCTATATTTGTTACGTGTTGAACAAGAGTCCAGAAGGGGTTATGCCAGATCATGCCCCTCCCAAAGCTCTGCCCTGGGCTTCTTTCATTCCTAGTTTTCTTATGAGACTACTGTTTATTGGGTACTTGCTATGTGTTGGCACTATGCTAAGTACATGACATTCATTGTTTCATTTAATGCTCCTGTCACTTCACTGCTACACTACATGAAGGAGCAGCTGTTTTCCCATCTATACAATGAGCTGAGGCATAGCTAAGTTAACCAGCTTTCCCAAGGCCACACATCTAGAAAGAGGCAGAGCCAAGATTCATACCCAGTCTCATTCGAGAGCCGCAGCTCTCAACCATTACACCACACTGGCTCCAAAGGTGGGCAGATAGGTAGTAGGTAGTTTGCTAGGGAATTTGACACACCAGCACATATACATACATATATTTACAATATACCACCATAGTACTTTAATAACATTGTAGAATTCATACTATATAATTTTTTCTATATAAATAATTCTTAACTATATAAAGTCTTCTCTTTAAGACAATTTCCTACCCCTGTATCTTTTGAAAATGACACATAGGAGCTGTACAATCCATTAATTTTAAAACTCATATCAGAATTGTAAGAAATGAAACATGTAGACCTTTAGAATAATTTTTTTTTTTAAGATTTCTTTATTTGAGAAAGTACAGGGGAGGGGCAGAGGGCGAGGGAGAGAGAGAATCTCAAGCAGACTCCCCGCTGAGTGTATATTCCAATGCAGGGCTCAAACTCCCAACCCTGAGATCATGACCTGAGCCAAAATCAAGAGTCAGACGCTCAGTGGACTGAGCCACCCAGGCGTCCCAAGAATAAGATTCTTTTTAAGTTATCTGTGCAGTGTTTGTTTTTTTCTACAGCCCTGGCTCCCCAACAAGATTCAGGATGGCCTAGTTATGGCTGCTCTTGTCATGAAAGGCATATTGTGGGGCGCCCGGCTGGCTCAGAAGAGCATGTGACTCTTAATCTCAGGGTTTGAGCCCCATTTTGGACTTAGAAAAAAAAAAAAGAAAGGCATATTGAGGGATGCTCAGCAAGGACATCTTAGGTACTTAATGACATAACTAATGTCAGAGTTTAATCAGTACACACTGAAGGTTGGGCACCTGGGTGGCTCAGTCAGTTAAACGTCTGCCTTGGGCTCAGGTCATGATCCTGGAGTCCCAGGATCGAGTCCTACCATCAGGCTCTCTGCTCAGTGGGGAGTCTGCTTCTCCCTCTGACCCTCCCTCCCTCCTGTGCTTTCTCTCTCTCTCTCAAAAAAAAAAAAAAAAAAAGACACACTGAAGGTTGAGATGTTGTCCTCCTGAAACAACTGGTTTACAGAACTAAGTTCTTTATTTCTTAATAAGAGGGGCCAATTTCAGCTATGCTTCTAAAATTCCTTTTGGGGGCACCTGGGTGGCTCAGTCGGTTAAGCGGCTGCCTTCAGCTCAGGTCATGATCCCGGGGTCCTGGGATTGAGCCCCACATCCGGCTCCCTGCTCAGTGGAGAGCCTGCTTCTCCCTCTCTCTCTGCCTGCTGCTCGGCCTACTTGTGCTTTCTCTCTCCGTGTCAAATAAATAAAATCTTTTTAAAAATAAATAAATAGGGACGCCTGGGTGGCTCAGTCGGTTAAGCGGCTGCCTTCGGCCCGGGTCATGATCCCAGGGTCCTGGGATCGAGTCCCACATCGGGCTCCTTGCTCAGCGGGGAGCCTGCTTCTCCGTCTCTCTCCCTCTGCTTGTGCTCTCTCTGTCAAATAAATAAAATCTTTTAAAAAAATAAATAAATAAATAAAATAAATAAATAAATAAATAAAATTCCTTTTGAACGTGATCCTTATCTTCTTTTATATCTTTACTGTTCTGATTAATTAGACCACTGCACCCCCTCTGTAGGTTTATAAAATCTACTTAATGTTTTTCTGCTTTTTGTTCCTTACCTTATATAAGGTATGGATGTTATGTTGTGTTAGTCTTTTAAAAATGTTAGTCCCAACTATTTAATGTAGTCTTTCTTCCCAAAGGGTCAGTATACTTTGGCATGCCTTGCCACAGATGTCTGAGTAATACCCCTGTAAAAAAGAGATACAAAATGACATTCTGCCTCTTTTTTTAAAGTGTCAAATCGGGGGCGCCTGGGTGGCTCAGATGGTTAAGCATCTGGTTTCGGCTCAGGTCATGAGGATCGAGCCCCACTTCTCCTTCTCCCTCTCCTGTTCCCCCTGCTTGTGCTCTCTCGCTCTCTCTGTCAAATAAATAAAATCTTTAAAAAAATAAAGTGTTAAATCAGAATACAGAATCTCTTTAATGTGGGTAAGTCCTTATGGCCAATTTGTCCAGACTTACTTTTACAATCTCTTGGATTTTCCCATTAGCTTACACTGTCTCATTAATGTATCTTTTTAACCAGCCAATTGCCAAATTCTTGACTTTGGTCTCCTCTCTGCTGACCTCCAAACTTGACTAGGTTTTGCTCTGTCCAGCCCCGCACCTTCCCATTGAAAGCTCTAACGTGTGTGGTGTTCTGCAGCAAGGTCAGCAGAGCTCAGGACTTCTTTCTCTTTGAATCTGTAGGGATCGCCTGCTCCCACAGTGGATCCCACTCTTAGCCGAGTGTCCTGCCATTACCCGAATGTACGAGGAGAGCGCCCTCCTGCGAGACCGCATGACTGTCAACTCTCTCATCCGCATTCTGCAGACCATTCAGGACTTCACCATAGTCTTGGAAGGCTCACTCATCAAAGGAGTGGATGTGTAACCCACGTGGCTAGAAACGCTCAGTCCAGACCCCTTGTTCCTGAGCCTTCCCCAACTATGGGGACTGATTTGGACTTGTCTGACAAGGGAGTGAGTCAGTGCGGGGGCAACACACCGTATTCCCCAATTTGAACAATCCTCACACTACAGACAAGGCAAAATGCTGTATTGTAGTTCATTTGAACCTGGAATTTAGTATAAAATAGAGTATTTTCATGTGTTAGATGTGTGTAAATATGCTATCTTCTTTAAGAAATTATATTACTCTAATAAGATACTTTTCTTAGATTGAATATTCCTGTGACTTAAAATAAGTAGCTTAACCGCATTGGGAGTTGGGGAGGGGAAGAGTGGTGCTAGCCAGGAAGAAGCCAGTAAACATGTAATTACAGTGCAACCCAGTCGGGGGCTTTTATTTCCCTCCAGGTATCACAAAGGAACCCAGAATGCATTGTTATATCATAGCCATCCATCCTGGTGTGTCCGATCCTTTGTATTGTGAATGTGAACAGCTTTACCTACTGTACATGGTAGTCCTCACTTACATTTTTTTTTTAGGTTACAAATGGTTTCATACATTTGAATTGAGTCACTTTTCCAGTCTTTTGGAAAAATTTTTCCGTCGGCACAAGATAAAGATATGATTCAAATATTTTAAATACTGGACCCCAGGAGCTTGGCTGAACTGGAAAGAGAACACACAAAGCCCTGAAAAGTATGTTAAATTGTAGGATTATAACTTCTTTACACTTTGGAAAGATTAGCCTAGACTAACTTCATTCTTGGCATTTTTATTCTTGTTATGTGAGCTACTTTGAAGAGATGTGAATTTCAGAGTGTTGGTCTCATAGTTATAAGAACTGCAAATGGCAGTTTGATTCTGTACTTATAATTTGGCCATCTGACCCCCCGCAGTCCTTACCTCAAGGGTAATCTCAAACCCTGTCTTTGTTAGGTTCCATTCACCCCTCCCCTCCCCTCTTCCTGTGCCCATCCCCCTCTCAGGAAATGGAAGGAATGTCTAAGAAGGAGGAGGGCTCTGTGTAGCTTGGAATGTTTTTGTGAAAGTATTTGTTGACCATGATAATGCAAATAACAGAGGGAAAGAGCAAGAATGAACCCTTTCTGGGTGTTTCAGGGCAAGTTTTATGTTCCTTTTTAAGAAAGGGTAATATAAAACAACTAGCCCTGAGAAGGTGAAAGCCAGGGCAGCACAGACTGACAAAAATGGAAGCAGTACGGGAGGCAACAGTTTTGAAAGACCAAACATTGTGAGTAGCTTTCCAGCTTGGTATTTTATAAGGAAGTTAAATAAATGGGTTAGCCAGTTACCTTGAGTCTTCGTTTATGGTAGGTCCTGTAACTCATTAGGCATTTGCACATTGTTAGCGGTGAAATTGCCTCAGCAGAGCTCCGGGGTTTATTCCCAGTTGTGGCTGAGAAGCAAAGCCATGGCCTCTCAGGACCCTTGTACAGTCTTGAGGGTCCTGGGCTTAGCCAACAGTATTGTTCCACTTATTTCCTGGAGGAAGAAACTAATGAAACAAGTGCCTCACTCCCTTTATCAAACACTGTATTCAGCTGGGGTCACCAAGGCACATCCCCTTTTAACCAGTGACTTAATCCAGGAGCACCGGGGGAGTTGAAGGCAGCATTTAGAAGCCCATGGAAGAGCTTTAAGAAGATGATTCTGGGTGACCTGGGTAGCCTGGAGATTTGCTCGCCTGAGGCTAAGGGCTGTCTGCATTGGTGTAGCTCTTCCAAGGACCTGGAAAGTCTATCATGGGAGGCATCCAGACCCTATTTAACAGGTTCTTGTGTTGCAGTGATCAGACAGCACAGAATGATCAGTGCAGGGTTTTATTATTCTTAGTACCTTTCTTAGAAGGCCATGGCTCTGGCACACTCCGGGCAGCTGAGAGATGACTTAGGTTAGTATGCTAGTATCAAGTCCTCATTTTATAGATGGGAACACTTGAGGATCAGAGAGGCTAAATACTTACCCCACGGCTGGTCAGTAACCAGAGTCTAGAGCTCGTGTCTTTTATTACACCAAGGCTGCATGAGACCGAGCTCCAAGGAGGCATTCATATTTTTTTTTATAAAAATTTTATTTATTTGACAGAGAGACACAGCGAGAGAGGGAACACAAGCGGGGGGAGTGGGAGAGGGAGAAGCAGGCTTCCCGCCAAGCAGGGAGCCCAATGTGGGGCTCAATCCCAGGACCCTGGGATCATGACCCAAGTGGAAGGCAGACACTTAACGAAGGTAGACGCTTAACGGCTGAGCCACCCAGGCACCCTGAGGAGGCATTCATGTTCATAGTCTTTCTACCCCTGGATCTTTATCCATACCTAAACAGGTAGGAAATCACTGTTAATATTCGTTTATAAGAATCATAAGGAGGGCGCCTGGGTGGCTCAGTTGGTTAAGTGACTGCCTTTGGCTCAAGTCATGATCCTGGAGTCCCGGGATCGAGTCCCACATCAGGCTCCCTGCTCAGCAGGGAGTCTGCTTCTCCCTCTGACCCTCTTCCCTCTCATGCTCTCTATTTCTCATTCTCTCTCTCTCAAATAAATAAATAAAATCTTAAAAAAAATCATTTATAAGGATTAACATTCATTTTAACAAATTATTCTCAAGTGGTTAAGAATTACATCCATTAGAAAAACTAGGAGCAAAATTGGATTTGGGGCCTGTGAATAAAGCTATTACATTAAAAAGTACCCCCAAAAAAGAGTTATACCTAAAGTTTTATCCCACTTTGTGTAGTATGACCATTACAGTGGAAATGACCGATTTCAAAAGAAATAATCACACCAGAACTGACACCTCCTCTAGAATGCTGGACCCTTTAAATTGGTTACCTGAGGAGCCCATATAGTTATTCCAGTGATAACAGCAGGGCTCCAAACCTGTGGGGACCTCCTTGCAAGATGCTTAGATGGCCTACAGCCCATAAAATTCTTCTGTTGCCAGTTATGGTAAATCTTGGCCTTTTAGAAGAAATTTAATATTTGGAAACAAAAAGTCCTTAGGATCCAAGCTGATGAAAAACGATGCTTAAGCAGAGTTTGAGGTCACAAACAATTCTAAAGAAATAAGACCTAGTTCTTATGTGGCTTATAACTACCTCTAAGCCAATACCAGAATATTTTGAGCAGGACAGAGGCAGACCCCTTAGAATAAGTGTCCATAGCTGACTTTTGGAAGGACCATACCCAGTTAGAGGTATCCTTTTTGCTATATTAATTTTTAATTAGTATATTGCTTCATAATCACACCTCAGAGTTAAAGTAAGTAAAAATCAATTTTGTAATTGACTTTTTTCCCTCAGAATAAATTAAAAGTAATGCCCGGAACCACAATTAGTATTTTCATATAATAATAGCTTGAGAGGAAATTGTTTTAAAATGAAATTGCCAAAAATATTACCTCTTGAAACATCTAATTTCCAAGTGTTTTTCAGATGTCCTGAAACTCTGAATCTTAACCTTTCTGATACAGTGGTGGGACAATGTGTGAGCCCAAAAAGCAGTGCCCTGGGTGGGCCTCGTTAGTGCCTTAAAACTGACTGAGGCTCCATGTGGGGTGTGGAGTAGCATAAAGTGGGATTCTAGTTGGGGTGAAATAGGCCTACAGAGAACAAAAGTTCTTCCTCTTTCTCTTTCCCACTGGGAGCAAGAATTTGATATAAGAAACCTGAAACCTGCAAAAGTTTGCAATTTCCCTCTAAAATTTATTTTCAATGTTTCCCACATTTTTGAACCTTTGTAACCCTGTGGTATTTACTTTAACACGTCTTTTTTTTAAAAATCATTTTCATGAACTCCTGTCCCACTACATGAATGATATAGGAGAAATAACTGAATTGCTTGTATTTCCTTTTTTGGAATAAAGCACCGTTGTATGCAAATGTAAGTGAAAGAGAGGTAGAGACGATACTTAACGGTCTATGTGTAGTATATGTTGACACCTCTAAGTTTTTTTTTAGAACAAAGCATTTTTTTTTAAGATTTTATTTATTTATTTAATTGACAGAGACGGTGAGAGAGGGAACACAAGCAGGGGGAGGGTCAGAGGGAGAAGCAGGCTTCCCGCCGAGCAGGGAGCCCAATGTGGGGCTCAATCCCAGGACCCTGAGATCATGACCTGAGCTGAAGGCAGTCGCTTAACCAACTGAGCCACCCAGGCGCCCCACCTCTAAGATATTTTGAAACATGAGGCAACAGACGAGGACCTCAGATCCCCAGGGAAATATTTATTGGACAGCATTGAGAGTGTAGCTCTTAATTGAAATATCTTCTTTCTGCTAAGAATTATGATTTTTCAGTGGATTTTCACTTGTATTTTCTCTGTGAGGTTTACAGAAACTATCCTTTTCACCATGTTGAAAGGACAGTCTGAACCTTAGCTATTTATATTTCAGTATTAACACACCTTCATTGATTGAGAATGGAGTCTCGAACTCCTCTCTACTTTTATGAAGTGAATGCTGTTTCTAGGTCATCAGTTTCTTTGGAAGCCCTTGTTCCTTACATAAGTATTTGTTATTTATTTAGCTTAAAAGGAGACGGAAATGAATAATAAACTTCTAGGCCCCTTATTCCTATTAAAATATATTTCTAAATCTCTTGGATTTCCAAGCTTTTTTGAAGAGGGTGCTGATGATGTGATCAGAGGAATCCAATCCAAGAAGAAACTCATCCTCCTAGATCTTCCTTGAGCTGATCATCCTCTCAAGGACAGAGTAGAGATTAGCTCCAGAAATGTATCACATTGAGCAGTTGACACCAGAGTGAAAAAAATACACATCAAAAAGTTTCTCTTCATTTGAAGGAACCCAGGGCATCCTTGGGTTATGTGGGAGAGAATCACACTTCATCTGGTTTCCTGAATGTATTTGTGTGTGGCTCCAGTCTATTCCAAACCAAATCTTGTTGAAAGTAGAGAGGTATGGTAAGGAGTTCCTGTTGTCAATCAAATGAGGGTGTTAAACATAGAAATAAACCCTCTGTGTTACACTTGAACCATGTATAAATGTACTCTGTGTATCTTTTTAAACAATGAACATTTCTGCATTTAAATTATATTGTGTTTCTTTGTATTGTTAACAATGCATCAGAACTGGATTTTTTTTTCCTCATCTGAACATAATATAAAATTTAAAGAGTATTGTGATATCAAGCACTTTAACATACATATCAGAGAAACTGACATGGGTTTTTCAGGTTTTGAAGTACATTTAAATATGACTTTTCATGATTTGTTCTTTACAAATAAAACTGTGGGGTTGATACTTTGTTTTGCTTTGTTATTATAGAATCTTTTATTAAAAGATTTCATTTATTTATTTGACAGAGACACAGTGAGAGAGGGAACACAAGCAGGGGGAGTGTGAGAGGGAGAAGCAGGCTTCAGGCCAAGTAGGGAGCCCTATGCGAGGCTCAGTCCCAGGACCCTGGGATTATGACCTGAGCTGAAGGCAGATGCTTAACCAAATGAGCCACCTAGGCACCCCTATAAATAAATAAATGTTAAAAAATAAAAAGCTTACTTTTGGACCTAAGTTTGTAATACCTGTTAGACATCCAAGTAGAAAAGCTTAGTAGACACTTGCACATACAGATTAGGAATTCAGGGCAGAACAGTAGTGTATTTGTCATCATCCAATCAAGAGTCAGAAACCACACAGCTATTTGAAGAGGGGTGATTTATTTTATTTATTTATTTATTTATTTATTTATTTATTTATTTATTTATTTTTAAGTAAGCTCTGTGCTCCCTGTGGGGTTTGAACTAGGAACCCTGAGATCAAGAGTTGCATTCTCTACCAGCTGAGGCAGCCAGGTGCCCCAGAAGGGGTGGTTTAATGTAAAAAAACTATGTATGACAGTTCTCTCTAGAAACAGAACCAAGAGAGGGTGTGTGTGTGTGTGTGTGTGTGTGTGTGTGTGTGTGTGTGTGTGTGTACATAGAGAAATTTTAAGGAATTGGCTCATGCAATTGTAGAGACTTGGTAAATCCAAAATCTACAGAGTAGGCTGTCAGGCTGGACACCCAGGGAAGAGTTGTAGTTCAAGTCCAAAGGCAGTCTGCTGGCAGAATTCTTTCTTGTTAGAGGAGGTCAATCTGTGTTCTATTTAGGCCTTCAACTGATTTGGTGGGGCCCACCCATATTATGAAGAGTAATCTGCTTTACTTGAAGGCCACCAATGTAATTTCATCCAAAAAACATTTTCACAGAACCATTTAGAGTAATGTTTGATTAAATATCTGACCACCGTGGCCCAGCCAGATTGATACATAACATTTAACCATCACAGACTATAACAAGAAATTAGAACAAAGGGAGATTTGCTGCTAAGCAATAAAAAGAACTGAAGAATACAAGAATTAAAACACAAAACAAAACACAAGAATAGCATCTATATGAGCAGCCACTAACCCTAGGCCCGAGGCCAGGCAAACCTAAAGTGCCCCCTCTCCCTCAGGCTGAGAGCCCAATTTTGTTAGGGCACAACCATAGCCCATCAGTACTAAAATGCCACACCAGTAGCACTTGTGAATCTACCCTTAGGTGCCAGGGAAGTATCCATGGGGAGGTACCATGTCCCAGAACTTGGTGGGAGGCTATCCATGGAGAGGTGCTATACCAGTAAGACTCAGTGGAGAGCCACCCAAGGGAATGCCATATGAGGTTAGCTGCCAAGCACAAGAGCTAGGAGCGTCCTGTAGGAGCTTGCAGAAGGGAGCGCAGCAGAACCAGGAAGGGAAGCTCCCTCCAGTGCCTCTCCAGAGCATTCTCCTGACAAAGGTGAACATGGTGCCAGCTGGCAGAGGGAAAGTGTTTATAAGAGGGTCTAGCATCATTGTTGCAGAACAGGCAATAAAGGGTAGATTTGGAGCTGAGAGGTGATAAACTGATAACTGCCCCAGTTCCTGATACTCAGTTACAGAGGAAACAAAGGAGGGGAGCAGGAAAATGCAGAAGGAAAAGCGGAGACGATAGAGCAAGTATCTCCAAACTTTATGGTGCAATGCTTTGGAGCAGGCATTGTCTGCCATGTCTCTTTGAACTTGGTGCAGATATATCTATACAGTTTTCATCACTACCCTTTAAAATATTAACT